ATAAAGTTTGCTTTTACTTCAGGATTAGAATTTTTGTGCCTCTTTGGCTATAATTTAATTTGCCGCCTACTCCAATGAACTACATAGCAAGATTCCATTTTCTTTTTGATTCCTCCAAAGTCTCCATATACGATGCACCATATAATTTTTGTCGATCTGTATTTTTTTAAAGAGACTAGTGAACAGTAATCTAAACTTGCTATTTTGGAAGAACGTTCGCTTCGGGACCCGCCGTGATTTCCCGCTATTGGAAGATTTTTGAATCGAGCTAACGATTCCTTATATATCAGATTTGTTTTGCAGCCGCTCAAGTCTGATGCCTATCTGGATTTTTATAGATTTTATGAAGCCGCGTAAAATAATGTGAACAATATGAAATTCAATAAATTGGCGTTGCTTTGTTGCTCCAATCCAGCAAATATGTACCGAATTTGGATTGCTAAAAAATTTCTGGTAGATCACGCTAGCCAGCAGGGGCATATAAAAATATAAAATTTGATACTTTTTCTGGATGTTTACAAGATGCTACAAATACAATTTAATATGTTGGAACGCTCAAATAGTTTGTATTCGTCACTGGCTCTTTTTTTATTGAAAACTAGCTGGCCTACCCGGCTCCGCCGTATCCGGACCAAACTTGGCACACATACACTTCGGGCCCTGGCGGGTGTCACAGTCCACTTTTCGTTATCGATCGATGTCGATTTTACCGATTTTTATCGATTTTTTTGCAGAGTTCACCTACAGGGCTAGGAGTTGGCACAGGGGGGAAGTGAGCATGGGGATTCCGAATACAATATTAGTTTTCAGAATTATCGATTACTTTTATTGATTTTATCGATTTTTTGTAAATTTTGACATGCGAGGCTGGGATTTTGCACAGGGGGGTAATCGAGCATGCTGATTACGAACACAATATTAGTTTTCAGGATCGTCCATTACTTTTATCGATTTTATCGATTTTTTCGTAAAGTTTGACCTGCGGGGCTGAGAGTTTGCACAGGGGGGTAATCGAGCATGCAGATTACGAATACAATATTAGTTTTTGGAATTATCCATTACTTCTATCGATTTTATCGATTTTGCAAAATTTGAGCTAGGGGGCTGGAATTTGGCACAGGGGTGTAATCGAGCATGCTGATCACCCCCTTGGGGATGATCAGCATGCTCGATTACCCCCCTGTGCCAACTCCCAGCCCCGTAGCTCAAACTTTGCAAAAAAATCGATAAAATCGATAAAAGTAATCGATAATCCTGAAAACCAATATTGTATTCGGAATCCCCATGCTCGATTACCCCCCTGTGCCAACTCCCAGCCCCGTAGGTGCACTCAGCAAAAAAATCGATAAAAATCGATAAAATCGATATCGATCGATGACGAAAAGTAGCCTATGACACCCGCCGGGGCCCGTAGTGTATGTGTGCCAAGTTTGGTCCGGATCGGTTCAGAAATGGAATTTTCTATTCGGAACATACGTACACACAGACAGACAGACAGACAGACAGACATACAGACAGACAGACAAACAGACATTCAGCTTTATATATAAGATTGTCTGCAACTGATCGAATGGTGCTAATTTGACTTTTAGATCCATTTAGTTTCCAGTCTCTACTATCGGATTCGTTTTTACCAAAGCTATATTGTCCAGTACTTTTCTTTTCCTGGTCGTGATTGTTTAGCTGTCACGGAAGTGACCGCTGTCTAAATATAGCGAACGACTTGTGAAAGCGAAGTGGACCAAGTCGCATATCGTTAAAGAGACGAAAAAGAAAATAGTTCCAAGTAAAGAAACAACAGCTAAGCATGATTACTTCAGTTGTTGTTCTACTTAATGTATTCGAGATTTTTTCATATTTACAGTCAGATTTTGTGAATGGAAAGCTCACAAAAATAACCTCAAGACTTTTGGCTCATTTGATTCAATTTTGTTCCTTTTTGTGACAATTAAGTTTGAAACGGAGTTTATCATCGCCCAGATAATTGCGAAAATCTGCGATGCGTTATCAGTTTATCTCACTTTTAAACTTAATTAAATAAGTTCTGTACCATTTTTTTATTTTGGCTCTTTTGTAACCTATTGAAATGTGTATATGCTTCAAGCACTAGAGCTGCTCTACAAAATGATCTGCGTCACCTGCCATGCGCAAAATAAATAAAAAAGACTTTTGGCCTCAGAACGGAAATACGAAAATTGAGATGCTATCTCCGACATCTATTTTCTATTCAAGTTTCCGTTTGAGGTGACCATTCATCAAGCAACAACAAGCAAAGCAGCAAGTAGTCTACTTATGTTGTTTAAAATTGAGAAACAAAGATGTCCGAAAATCTAAAGTACCACTTTTCTCGGTTTTTTAATGTGGAAATTGGTGTTTCTCGATTATAAGAGCACCTACAGGGGTAAAGTTTTGAAGTTATACTTACTAAGACTCGTAGTATACAATGACATACGTGGGAAGGGCGGGGGGCGGAGCTACAAAACCTCGTAGATCTTCCAATATAGAAAAATGAAGCAGGCAGATTGTTGACTTAAGCCATAAAAGCATGGAAATACCTTGTTAAATACACAAAATTTCAGGGGAAAAATAAGATAAATGCTGCAGAGCATCTTATGCTACCTGATATATCAAACTGTGTATAGGTTCGTTAGCAGATTTTATTTAATCTTTTCTCAGATTTCGTAATGGTCAAGTATACTTTTTTATGAGAGCGAACCCTACAGCTACTTCTTAAATTTGCTTGCATTATCTTCCAAGCTAGGAGGAACTTCACGAACATCTTCGGCTCCAAAACTAAAATCTGACAAGGGAACGATACTTGAGGTCCGTGGCTTTTTGAAATGAGGTGTAAGCCTTTACATTCGTCTTGGAGCGCTGATTTCGAATCTGACTTTCGTTTTTGCTAAAAATCTGACTTTTGTTTTTGCTAATCGTTTCTCTGAAAAAAGTTATGAAAGACTTTCGCGCCAAGAAAAATATGGTCGGAATGCGAAAACCGCCGCTACGATGTGGTGTAGTGACTAGCGTGATAGCCTAACAAGTTAAGGCATTGTCCAGGTCAACTTGGGGGTATTGGGATCTTGAGACAGTGTGAGAGCATGGCTCCTGACTAACGCAACAGTTCAAGTGCGATCGGAACTGTTGCGTTAGTCAGGAGCCATGCTCTCACACCGTCTCAAGTCCCAATACCCCAAGTTGACCTGGACAATGCCTTTAATGCAGGTTTAGGTTCGAGTCCTTTTGTGTTTTCAGTTGCATTGCCTCAGTCAAGCTTCTTTTCGAAAGTTAAGCATCCTCAAACGTATTTCTCTTGGGAGACCATTGACGCGAAAATTCTTTATAACTTCTTTTAGAGAAACGTCTAGCAGAAGCGGAAGTCAGGTTCGGAATCAGCGTTTCAAGGCGAGTGTAATGGTTTACATCTCACCTCAATATCATTCCCCTGGTAAAATCTGTTGAATCTGACAACAAGCAATTAGAGCTAGTCTCTCATGGCATACTACGTATGTGTTCTCTTTTTGCCCCAGCAGTTTAAAGCTTTTTTCAAAACCGGAGAACGAAAGGCTTGGTCGTGACACCTCAATCGTCTCGTGTACCTGAGTCGTGGGACCCCAAACTTGAAATTTGAGTGGATCATCCACAAATAAAGATTGTAAACCACAGAACGTTCCTTCGCCCTGAATTGTCCATCTACGGTCTTCTAGCAGGACTGATTTCGGATACTTGATGACTACGTAAATAAGTTTTGGGACCACGTAGCTAAGTCCCTTGTGGCTAACTTCTTGAGCTCTGCAAAAGGAGTTAATAATCGTAGAGGACTAGTACCACGCAGTAATCTTTCCAATACCTTCTCGAGCTGTACAGTATAAGTCTTCAATACTCGGGATCCTCATTTAAAATAAGGACAGATACGAAATCAAATCAGTATCTTCCTCAGGCTAAAATGTTTTGAGAAAAGCATTGAGGTTGAGCTGAACTTGTTTACTGGGCGGTCATCTCTGTCAAAAAGGCTTCAGAAGATGCAGGCGCTTTTCAGCTAGCTTGGGGCGTCTAGTACTTTACTGTACAAATCATATATCATCTTTACTTTGAATTATGTTTCGGACCAAGGGCGCACGTCCTACGCTGCCAAAACTACTGTTGCTGCAACCACCTGTTTGCTACTGACGCTTTAGTGCTCAAAACGTAGGAGATGTACTGGTATGGGTGAAAAACCAAATTTTGTGACATTCACTCTGGGTAAAAAGCTTGAGATGTCAAAAAAGCTAAAGAATGCATATATCATGTAAATAGAATGATAATGTCGCACTGGAATGGTTCAAAGGCAAGGTATTTTATTTGACACTGAAAGAATTTGAAGAAAGCGAAGGGCTGCTATGCAAATGAGAACATTTGTAAAGAAGGGCATAACTTCCAGAACTGAGGTAAGTGCATGTAGGATTAAATTAGAGAAACTGTTGCACCAAAATTTGGCTACACTATTATTCACCGCCGAGGTACAGGGCTCCTAAGTTGCAGAGTCGTTTGCACCAGCGGTCGCGCGACCGCGTCGCGCCCGGACATCAGTGGCGCTGCCTCGATTGATGGCTCCGGCGCCGGCAAAATGCATGGCGCGGCGCGGTCGCGCGACCGCTGGTGCAAACGACTCTGCAATTTAGGAGCCCTGTAATACGTTGGTAGGGCGCATACATACCATGAAGCAAGAAACTGGATGACGACATTGAGGGCATGAGTATGTTTTGCCACATAAAGCCTACAAGAGTAGGAAGGTTAGTTGAAGTGGTTTTTCTGTATGATATACTGTCTTGAAGGCAAATGCTTTCAAATATAACTTTCTTATCTTTTGAGCAAGGTGTTCTAAAGGTTTTACGAGGGAAAAAGTTGAATGCATGATCAGTGTAAATTCAGTCGTTGACTTTTCCTAGCGCTCCGAAGTGGCACAGTTAAGTGGATATGTTTATGTTAAGAATATTTATTACAGAGTAACGAAAATAGAGCCGCAGAGAAATGCTACGGTAGTTGTCTAGTTGTTAGGCAACTGTCTTGTGTTCCGTTGGAGGGGATTGAAGAAGCTTGAAAGGCGAGATAAGAAGGTGAACACATTCAGCTGAAGAAAAAATAAAAACACAGAAATACAGCATGAAAATAATATATGTTTACTTTTTGTTTGCTTGAGGAATTTCGCCAGGATTTGGTAGGATATCCTGTGTTTCCGTAAAAGATAGGAGCCTTTTTGCTAGAGGACTTTTGCCTGGATTTGCTATGATATCCAGTGTTTCTGAAAAAGGTAGGAACCGTTTTTAGGGAAAAATATGTGAAACAGATTACTCTATCAACGCCTTCAAGGATACTGACCTAACGGATAGTATACGATATACTTCATGTGCGATGCGATAATTTTGAAGCTTCAGTACCTTCTGTATGCCTGCGGGCACTTGTACAATATGTTAATGTTCTTGATGTCCGATGGAGTGAAGTACATTCGTGGGTAGTATTTGTAACCTTTTACAGGATAGTGCATGATCGACTCGGGATCATAATAACCCATGTAGTATGCCTCAGTTCTCGTATAAGTCTTACGAATCCAGTATTCTTATCTGCTATCTGGATCACGTGGGCTGTTGGAAAAGCGTGGATCGCGATCCACTCTGTAAAAGTCTTCATTGGTTGCATAATTACTTGGTTAACCTCAAGGAGAAGCAAGAGGTTTCACCTTTGATGTTCGTGATGAAAACCGATAGTGTGCATCAATTTATGAATCATATTAGGTCCATTCAAACAAATAGAGTGCATATTCATTCTCGTTTTGAACTTGCCCTCAGATGTTCGATAATAGACCGATGTTTGCCGACCGACGTCGCCGTAACATCTGTAACAAGCAGTGGGATCATAATATAGTATTATCGAGCGTAACTTGCCCTTCATTGTAGTTGTGATAAATTGATAAGTAGTACATATCAGTTTGTTTACGCAGTCGAAATCTTATGCATGTGTGTTTGCGAAACGCAATCATCGCAAACCGGATGTCCCTCAGTTCACGGGAATTATAATCTGGAGAGATTTCATAGGGAACAATTCCTCTTGGCTATAGACTGAAAAAAATAAAGCATGAGAAAGTGTTAAACTACAAAAGGAGCAGTAGAAGGAAGATCTCTAAAAATCGGTAAATTACCCTGCAGCCCATTGGTCGGGACGAAGCGCAAGCCCTTTAAAATATTTACGTTCGTCACTGAACACACTTCTTTTCCTAGTTTCATCTTGTTTCTGTAAATGATAACTTTAAAATTTTTCCAAACAGTAAAAAATTTGCAATTTCGTTTTTTTGCTGATCACAAATTAACACTCACTCTTATGCTGAGTGCAAAATTCTGGACCTTGCCGCGCACATTCTGAAACCAGAGTAGCGCAAAATGTATAATTACAATTTTCCAAATTTCGACTTCTAAAGCACAATTATAGACCTAGAGTACAGCCGCAGCCCGTCTCCCGCCTATTGCGAGAATGGATCGCAAAGCTTTTGCAGCTTGTCTTGAAACAAAATCTGGTGAGACTTTGTTGGCTTCTTTAGACAGGATATCTGAAGCAAGAAGCACGCAGTTTCAAAAAGCGTAACCTGAACCACAACCCTCTTTTCAAAGATCACGCCAAGATTGATGTTCGTCTACTATTGTAATCGTAGGATTACCATTTTAAATGTCTATTTCAAGGTTTCTCTGAAGAAAACTGTTTTATCAACATCTACTTTGTTTCTAGCAACTTCCACAGTGCAGTTTATAAAATTTCCTTTTGACATTTTGTTGAATCTTATACATCTTTTATAGGTGAAATAATTCTTTTGTAATCTTCTGGAACCAATTATATTCTTAGAGATATGTTGCATCTATCTAGCTTGCTGCGATTTGTCAGCATGTAAGACAAATTTGACACACCAGTTTTTGCTGCTTGCCTAAGCCTTAAATTTTCATTAATTTGCCACAGCTAGAATAGTAAAAGATATCGATAAGATATCGATCCGCAAAAAATATCGAAATTAAAGAAAGCACGGCCAAGACTTTTCGGACTGAAATATGCATCTGCTCATCGTGCCTTACTCGCCGCAAAACTTGTGCGTGCATGCGTCAGCGATGAGCACCGTCACTACGTTATAGGCATTGACTTTCTTGAAGGAGACAAGAACGGAAACTGAGCTTCTGTTCAATGCATGGATCAATGATGAAGTTATACAAGGCTGCCTTTGGAGTTTGTTCCCTTTTTAGTGTTATTTAATTTTATTCATTTCTTTATTTTATTCAATATGCTTTTGGCTTTTTTTACGAAAAAATGAAAAACACACGGTTACCCGTATCGCAACAAAAGCCATGTATAGTTGATTTGTTGACCGCACGGACTGGACAACGCTGCAAAGCACGCGCCGCGAGGTAAAACGCTTGCCTTAGCACAAATTCGTTATTGTATGAGTCGTGTCGCGGACTGCGCGACTTCTTCAAGGAGTCCGCTTCTCGTGCGCGAAGGGGTCCTAAAACGCAAGTCCTCGCGCGCTGCCCCGCCCTCTCGCTCGCTATTATGCCGCAGCTTACCTTCAAATAGTCATGTACGCCACATGTGTCTACTCGCGAGCGGTCGGCTTCAACTCAGTCCAACTATCGATCGATCTAGCAGCGCCGTTTCCTCAACTCACGCGAAGTACACCATCACGCATGGAGGACTGGTCCGATGCCTCGAGGTAGCCCGGTTGGTGGTTCTTGCTTGCCGCAGGGCAAAGGAGTACCTCCGCAGGGGGTTTTCTTTCTACCGGCCCCTAGGTAACATCTTGGCCGGCGTGTGCTCACCCCATTGTATTGAGTTGCTGTGTGTCGGTTAAGATCCGGATAAATGGTGGGCACCTTTAGAGTCCTAGTGTTTTAATACAAGTGTTGGGCTTAGGGCTTAGGCCTTAGCCCCAGGATATCTGTGTGCTGTTCATGTTTGTTGTGGTTTTACGATGTGTTGCGTCCTGGAAGGTCCCATCAGTCCGAGGATGGGCATGATCCATGGTAGTGCCCAAGTTGCTGAGAATCCACAACTGCCGACAGTGTGTGGGGCGGCTTGAGAAGCTGGCAGTTGAGATTGGGGGGTTAGGTTGGTAGCCTAGGGCCTCTGAGATGTATTGTGTATCCGTGTTTGGCAGGCCATAAGAGCATGGCGCAAGCTAGCTACCCTTCCACACGTGTCGTTACTTCAATCACGGATGGCGTCCTCAGCTCTCCTCGCCGATGCAGGAGAGCACTTACCACTGACGTTAGGAGCTGGGGACCCCAATCCGCGACAAATCGTGCTCTCGCGACATTCAACCTCTCTGCGCGTGGTCCGCAGTTTTTGAGCAGTCCGTGCGGTCAAAAAATCGACGGTAGCTTGGTCCAACCATTCGAAATGGGGAAAATGAGAATGAAAAGGAATGGAAAAATGAAAAAACATGAGTAGCACAACGATTAAATGAAAAAGGAAAAGGGAAAGAAAACGGGAAGAATAATGTCACCGCCGGTGAAAATGAAACATTAGCGCTCGATAAGCTTGGATGTTGCGTTTGCGATCTCAGCAGATTGCGTGTCAATGGAAAATTTCTGAGAACCACAAAAATTTCTAGACGAAACTTTATGAAACGTTTTTTGCTTATATAAAAACTTCAAAAGTGACGATGCAAATTATGCGAAAAAATTATCAGAAATTATGTGAACAAAGTGTCGGTACCATCAGCAAAATCTAGCTGGAACAGTTCAGCTGAATCGGAGAACGGGCACAGCTTTCATTCACATCCTTTTTCCACAAATATTCAGGTCACAAATCGACCGTCTCAGGCGCAAGCGCATACCAAATTTGATGTTTTATCATTGAGTATTGGTTAAATGGAGCTTTTGCTTGCTTGAGGTTGCTTTTAGCATTCGATGAGGTTTATGCTGGGTTCTCTTTGCACGAGGATGCGGGCCCTACCGTTACGACCGATATCGATTCCACATGGCGGCCTTGATAAGACATAGCCGCAGGGAGAACTGCGGCCGAGGCATCATTATAGGCCTTGGCCCGCGCTTTGTATACCCCTCACACATTATTTTTAATGTTCGTAATTTCTGCGAAGCACGTTTTTTGTTGTTGCATGCAACAACGTTGAAATATCGCGCTTTTGTGTGATATCATGTTTGAAACGTAAATAATGTTCCAGCGATTACTTCGCAAAGAGTAGCTGAGAAAGTCTAGAGGAGCGTATATACATGTAAGGCCCTGGCCATACCTCACGCGATTTCGGTCTCCTTGTAATCCGACAATTTGGCAGTTGTCCTTAGATCCACCAGTGGCAGACAGCATCTGCATCGTCTAAGTGACTTTCGTGGAATAACGGAATGCCCTATTCTCTGCATGTTTAGAGGGCGTCGATAGTTATGGGCAACTGAAGTACTGTCAAATCGCGTTGTGACTGAAATCGCATAAGGTATGGCCAAAGCTTAGCGCTCAAACAATGTGTCTTACTTTTACTCAGGCGAACAATTTTCACTGACCCTTTTTGACGCCAGCCATTTTCGTAGATTAAAAGTAGGTGTGGGAACCGATCCTGTATCTAAAAAGGTGGAATGCTAACCTGAGACGAATTAACATCTTGTGCAGGAATGACATGGGCTTGGCGAGATGAGACAACGTGGGTTTGCGTATCTACATCTACATCTACAAAGCAATTTTAGCAAGTATTTCTTTAACAACATAACAGGAACCTGGAAGGGTTTCATTCGCTGAAGTGGTGACAGCTTTTGGCAGTGGGAAGAGTAGAGAAAACAGCATAATCATTGAATTCAGCCTGATTTTCATGCTTGAGCTCACTGTTCCGAAGTGCTGTGTACGAAACCTGTACAAAGTAGATAAGCATTTGTATTTTAGATCAAAAATTGATTACGCGAATAAACCCCAGTAGAAGATAAGGTGTCGCGGAGGGCGGGGGTAAGGGAAAATAAAGAGCATCGGTAACCAGCGGATAGTGGAAGTATTTCTAATTGGTAGTCACGCTAATTTGAATACATCTATCAACAAAAGTAGCTGAGCATTCACTGAAGAACGCTCAGATAGCATTCTGCATTCTCTTCATCTTAAGAACTTTCGATAAAACGATCGTTTTGCAGTCGATAATTAACACTAGCTGGCTTTCGGCTTCATCCAGCCCTGTCAAGACACTAAGATAGAAGTTACCATGTGTCATACAACATTTCCTGTCCCGGTCTCACTTCTATACTCGTATCTTGCCGATGTACCTTGTTTCCACCGTTTTCGTAATCGCATAATCACTTGTCTTGTGCCTACTCCCAGCCGCGTAGCTCAAACTTGCAAAAAATCAATAAGTTCTTGAGGGTAATTGAATTTGTGGCAAATATTGCATCCGTTATCACTTTCTTCCATATGCCGACTCCCAGCCACGTAGCTCAAACAGCAATAATTAATAAACCGGAAAAGGTATCCGTTAATCAATAATCAGCGTGCTCACTTACTCGCATGCTTCAACTTCTAGCTCCGTAGCTCAAACCTTGCAGAAAATCTATAAAAATTGATAAAATCGATACTGCTCCATAGCGAAAAAGAGCATACGACATTTATCTCGCCTAAGGTTTAATTGTGCAAAGTTTGATCTAGATTGTTCAGAAATGGGATTTCTATTCGGAACATACGTCAGACAGAAAGGAAGACAGACATAAATACAGGAAGAAATACATTCATTTTTATAATACGAATTCGTTTTCTTCCTAGCTATAACTTTTCATAGCGCCGCTTACATTACGACATTAAAGAATAGGAATCGAGGACTAGGTTTGGCCTTGTACTAACACTATCTTTGTTCTGAGTGAAGGGCACAGCAATGGATGTTTTCTTCCATACGTGCGTTGCTCAACTTCTTTGCTGAAATTTCGCACACTGATTTGAGCTATTCCTCTACATACAGATATCCATGAGCCATATGCCATGCTAATACTCTACGGGTAGGTTACATAATTCTGCGAGTTACCCAAACCTCATTTTGGATCGCCTCAAGTTTTTTGAGTAAAAAAGATCTGACTTCGTACCACTAGATTTGGTAATTCTAGCTCCAATGGGAAATTTTTTTGAGCAAGAGTCTATCGTCATTGTTTTTGGAAACATGAGTGAAACAAACGCAATTTATAGCTACTCAACTGATCAGCGAGTTGATACAGTTTTAAGCTTATTACTTTTGTTTGGAGCAGAATTTCCTCAATCCGAGTCTGCGTCCACTACTGCGTTCTTCCCACACACGTAAATTGTATACTACAAGCCGTCGGTATAATTATGTAAATACTGAGAATCAGATGTAGCGCCGCTACTGTTTGTGGGTCACCTAGCTTGAATCAAGTGGCGGAAGAGTTTTAGCAAAAACTTATGTTTTCTATGTATTTGCTAAAAATGAAGCAAAGTGGGAGAGTTGTATCATTGCATACCAGAAGAAAAATCTCATTTTGATTTAGGCTATCACAGATTGTGTTCAAACGATGTGCAAAAGAGCTTTCTACTTTCCTTTCGCGCATTCTCTTCTGTGCGGTGAAGTGCCATGTATATGGAAAGAGGCCATCGTAACTGCTGTTCCATAAGTCAATAAACAGCGAACTGTTCCGTATTTTAGGCATATAGTATTGAAACTGTTCCAAGCAAGATCTTGGAAAAAATAATTTGAGACAGATTCTTAGCTCGGCTTGAAATGTTTAGGAAGCAGCATGGTTTTGTTAGCGGAGCATCGACAGTCATGCAGCTAATTAATTATAATTGAATCAAAGCTGTTCTGAATGGCCAGAAAGCGTACGTCATTTATTTTAACTTATTCAAGGCGTTCGATCGTATGGGTCATGGGAATTACTAGATAAATTTGAGCACTACGGTTTCAGAGGCGCCCTTCTAGACTGGTTTACATCTTACTTGCATTGTAGATATGTGATCGTTTACATCAATGGAGGCTACTCGAACGTTTTCTTGCGAGTGGGCTTTCGCAGAAAGGTGCTCTTTCCCTCTCTTGTTCACTATCTATACAACAGATTCACCTAAGATATCAAAAATTCGTCCCAATGTTACTGATCTTATATATGCAGGCGATATCAAGATATACGGAATATTTTAGGTTGATGCAAAAGTAGTGGCCGCTTTCCATCAGAATATCTTCTCTAAAATACATATAGCATATCACTGAGAAGCTGTTCACATGCTCCATCTAACGGTGGTTGAAGCGGACTTCCATCCTCATCTGTTATAAAATTACTGAGATTCAAATAACCGCACCCAAATTCAGAATTTCATTGCATTGACTTTTCTGGCTAGAATAAGAGCGCATGAACGGCGCTTCTTCGAAAATTTTGCTATTGTATGTAATAGAAATTGTTTACATTATGCATACTTGTCTGTATTTCCTGAACCAGACTGAGATATCGGCGCCTCAATATGGGCAGCCGTTGCGTTCACTTTATGACCCATAAATTTATTTCAAAGAAGTCTGTCGCTGAAGCTTTGCTCAATTCTATAGGCGTAGTGCTAGTGCACCCCAATAGCTGTTTTGCAAGAACATCCAGCTGTTCAGTACGCAGAAAATCGCAAAATTTTATATTTGGGGGTTTCAAGGCATACTGAAAAATTGTTGAAAAAAACTAGCAACTTACAATCCAATTTCTTCCTTTCCGCAAACTTATTTCTCCAAACCCTTTTCATCGTATTTTGTACTACTGGCCAGTGGCTACAAGATAGGCCACCTGTCATGCATAATAACAAATTTTGGAGGAAGTTATGAACTGTCAAAACAGGTCTTGGAAAAAACCTCTGTTGTCTTTTAATCCGTATTTTTCTTCCCGTTTACGATGTGAGTATAAGTGAGTGTGCTCTGTATTGGGAAAGGTTTTTGCTGCTTCTGGTGGTTTTTCAACGCATTCAGAAATAAAGATTTTTTTGAAAAGTTGTAGCACTTCAAATTGAAAATTCACGAAACGGCCATTATTTCTGCATCAACCTAATATCAGGTCGTTTTGAAAGTAAAAAGTAATGTGGCTTTTTTTAGAATGAATGCCACATTTTATGGAATCAAGATTTTCAAAAGGTTTTAGGAGCGTTTGATGCAGCGTTTCATCCTCTTTCTAATGGTTGTAGTTTCATTGCATAATATTCAATGAGCTCTCGAAAAATTACCAAAATCTGCGACTCTTGCTTTTTGCCATGGTCAAGTTCGGCTATTTTTCTAGATTTTCGTACCAATTCTCCGAAAAAATATAAGCAACTGGTAGATAGAGCAACCCTATAGAACGCACAATTTTTTCTTTTCCTTAGCTTGCTTGTTAGAGTTTCTGGAATCAATTTTTCAACGCTATCAACTTCCATATTTGGTCAACTCAAACCTCACAGAACAACAGCCGGCAAGCAAGTCGTGTGTCATTCAACGCAGCTTTCTCTCCTCTTTCTACCAGTTGTTTTTTGTTCCCGATTCATCACGTTTCCCGGGATAAAATCATCATAATTTAGGTTTTTCAGGGCGCCCCAGGCTGCACCCGAAATTTTCGAAAGTTGCTAATTTGAAGCGGTGAATGCTTATTTGGTTTGTAAAATTAGTGTTAAACCATAATCCATTCTTGTAAGTTTCAAAATCCGAAATTTTTTGGTGTTTGATGCTTTTCTGTCTGAGACGAGCCTGCTAAAATTCGGTGGTTCCATCAAAAAATCTATTGAAAAATTATGACGAGCTGTGGAAAGTAGGAAAAAGTTGTGCTGTTTCATGTAGGATTTGCTCTATCCATCCGTTACTTGGACACTTTCCAAGAATTGTTATGAAAATTTAGAAAAATTTTGAAACTTGGCCTTCTCAAAAAGCGTGGGTCGCAACTTTAATTATTTTTTCGGAGGTTATTGCACTTTGTGCAGTAGTTATATTAGATTGTCCCATATTTATTTACCGTTTTTACTACTACTTTTTTACTTTTACGGTCGTCTTTTTGTATCTATCCTTCATTTGATGTGGCTTGAGTAACCATTCGATAAGGCAAAGCAAGCTCTACAAGATGGCTATCAAGAGTCTGCGTTAATCATAATCCACTTAAAGGCAGTGTCTCACCAAAGTTGAGGTCGCGCGGATCTTCACATATTCTATTATAGGGACCTCTAAATAGGCCATTGCAACAAGTCTTACTCAATTTGACCCCCTCCACGCTGAGAAAAATTTGCTCAAAGTGGTACGCGGAGAGCCAGTTGGTACGCGCGGACGTCTCCTTCGGTCTCCCCCCTTACGCGTTTGAACATGTCCCTCCACTTGGCATCCACCTCCCCTCTGTTGCTGCCACTATGGCTGAGGCTGAAGTTGGCAGGTACAACTCGTCCACGTTGCTTCCGCGGGGCCTCCAGAAAACGGGGTTTTTGGGAACTTCGTGCGATTTTAAGCCCAAACAGTGCTAGACAGGGTCCTACAGGCTTGCAAAATGCAAAAATCTCGACAACTAAATTTTGGTGAGACACTGCCTTTAAAGTTTTGATCTGAATTATGGTAGTAGTCAAAAACGAACTTCTCTGTCAAAAATCGTATCTCTGCCCCAAAATATCTTTAAAAAAATTTCAAATTCATTCTGGCATATGCTTGACACATCGCACATTCGATTGCATACTTTTCGAATTTCTTCCATGGCTAAATAAAGAAAAAGAATGAGGTAAAATGACAAAGCCCTTCCCTAAAAGTCCCGAGCTTCTCCCACACATGTGATCATGTAGCTCATACATACAGAAGTACGATCATGTATTTGAAAATTTTGAAGGTGCCTCAGCTCTCGAGAAATGCTGATGTTTAAGGTAGAAACGGTAACCAATTATGGGATACTTTAATACAAGGAT